TTTACACCTGTCACCTCTCTGACACTCAGAGGCAGGACCTCCTTTCCACCTGTCACCTCTCTGACACTCAGAGGCAGGACCTCCTTTACAAAACCTGTCACCATCTTCCTCATGGTGCCAGATCTAGCTTGTTGTAAGTACCTTTATGCATGTTTATGTGAGTAGATAAGTAACCTGAATATTTCTTTTATTATATTGAATACTTTTATAAATTCTACTGAAAATTTTTAGAAGCTTGCTTTTTTGATGTTCTTTGGCTATGTTTTGCAATTTCTGTTTGTTATGCTACCAAATAGGAAATGTTCAATCCTTTAATTTCTTTTAAGAGATAGAACACAGAGTAACCATTCTCTCCCACATTTTGCTTTTCTTTAAAGGACGCTTATTCTAAAATGCAATAGCTATAGACATGCTCGGTGGTGGGCAGGAGCTATAGAAGAATTCATCCAGAAACACGGCACCAATTTTCTCAAAGATCATCGATTTGGGTCATATGCTGCTGTCCAAGAGAACATGTTAGCTAAATGGTGAGATACTCTAAATCTGTCAAGGTAGTGGTCTAAATTCACCTGGAATCTATTTTCCAAACTATGAAAAGATTTTGTACGTTACACTTAACAAAGGCCTCTTGTTATGAGGCAGTTAGGCTACTACATGATCATAGATTTGTTTTCTGAGTTTATTTTTATTTCCACAGTGAACTTGGCTAGATTTAGATTTTGAAATTTGATTTTTAAAGCTAACTTCATTTTCTTAATGATGAAGATTATTAGCCATAATTTAGGAAAAAGCATTTAGTGACTAGGCATTTCTTTTAAATGCAATCATGTTTTGCAAGTTTTCTTACTTATGGATCAGAAACTTGTATGTTTTCATTCCCAGAAGAAAAATTTTGTCTGAGTACAACAGGATAGGGGAATTCTTCCAGCCTCTATGATGATGGACTCATTAGAGAAGAAACAGCACATCTGTCTAGTTACTGCTTTTCCTCAGACTCTGGGCAGCAGCTTCCATGTGTAGCTTTACATAGGATATGTTACTTTTCTTTTTCTTTGTGCAAATAAATGGAACAACAAATTTATCTTTCAGGTATGTTAATGCCAAAGGATATTTTGAAGATGTGGCAAATGCAATGGAAGAGGCAAAAGAAGAGATTTTTATCACAGATTGGTGGTTAGTATTTGGCATGGGCTTCTGTCTGGAGATGTCTAGGTTTAGAATGAACAATGATGTGGTGCTGTTCCAGAATCATTAATGAGTAGCTTTTAATGAATGACCTTTTCAAAAACTTTAACCTCCAAATATCTTCTTAAAATATTTAGCTTGAGCAGTTTTGTTTTTGCCTTTGCATTTGGAAGTAGACATCCAAATATTAATTGTGGTAGTGGTTATGCTGCAATGCAAATATAGTTGTACAGGTAATGGAAACCATGTTTCTGGGGTATCTCTTTCTCATTTTGCTATATCTGTAACCAGGCCTAGTGCATATATTTCTTTTGAATTACCCCTTTGAGGTTGAACTAGTTCCATTTGCCTTTCACTGTTAAAATGTCCTCTTTAAGGACCAGGCCTAGTCAGGTCTTCTACAGATACTTCATGTTTTTGACCTCCTAAAAATTGTCCATGAGAGTTATTATGTTGCTTATTATAGTCACTGAAAGTCTCATATTTAAAACTCATTTAGCTCTCAAGAAATTTTAATCCTGGAGTTGTTGTAGGCTTTGTAGTCTGACTACAGTCACAATTACCCATCTGCTTGAACAGTGAAAACCAATTCCAGAGGCTAATATTGGTTACAATGGAAATGAAAATGTCTAAAATGTGTTTTCCTTCCAGGATCTCAGTTGCCTGAAATGCCCCTTATTTTTTTCTGTCCTGTTTTCTTCCACAGTTTATATACCTTATATAGTAGAATCTCTGTAAGGTGACCACCCAAGAGTCTGTAACAAATGGTCAACATAAGGAAATTCCACTGAGTACATATGGTACCTGTCTGGTCTGAGAAAATTAGGTCAACTTAAGGAGGTGTTCAAAGTAGGGAGGTGGTCAGCTTTGTAGGTTCTGCTGTATGGTTAAACTGTGAATATGTCATCATAATTTATTGGAGGCAGGGAACAATAATAGGAATATGAACCTGTTTTCCCCTGTTTTGCTTCAGCTGTATGGAAGTTTGTAACTCCAACGTGCTGATGCAAGCTTGGCACTGTTGACATTTTCAGCCAATCATTTGTTGTGAGGAGCTTCCTGTGCACCAAAGGATGTTTGCAGCGTCTCAACCTTCTCCTGTTAGGTGCCAGGAGCAAGCTCCCCATGTGACGACCGAAGTGTCTTCAGAGATTGCCAGATGTTCCCTGATTAGTGCTGGGGCTGGGGCCAAATCCTTTTTGGTTGATTGAGAGTCCCCAATCTGGAGTGATGGATGAAATGCATGGTTGTCTGCTCCTGTGTGTGGAAGAGCTTGGGCCTGGTCTGCATGATCTTGGCACATGTTATCTTTTCAGTCAGGTGCCAAAAAGAGAAAAGTTTCATACTCAGGAGGTATTTCTTTGGTTACGGTATTTTAAAACACTTACAAGAATAAAGTCAGGCTTAATGTAGTGTTGTATTCTTATAGAAAATATTTCTGAAAGTTTGTTTTGTGAAGACATGAGAGACGATGAAAGTAATTTTTCTGTTAAGCCCATATTTTCATCCAATATGCAAAATAATACCTCTTTTGAAAGTTCTGAACACTAAAATACAGTCTCTTAATTTAAACATCTAAAGATATGGACCCCTGAATGTTTTCTATTGTACTTTCAGCAAAAGAATTAACCAGGCAGGGAGTTATTTCCTTTTCATGACTGAACTAGGGTAATGTCTAATTACAACACACCCTTTGAAATAAAGCCCTCATAGTAAGTTTCCTCATAATAAGTGAAGAAAATTCTTGTCATGCAAAGACAAAAATGCAAAAGAGAACATTTAGAATCTCTACCAAACTTTGGTATGTTTAAATGTGAGAGAGTAGGGATATGAACCACAGCTTCTGTACTGATCTACATGTTAAATGAAGGAGACAGAATTAATAAAACAGAAGAATAAAGAAGAAAAACAATCAACAGAGATATTTAGAAGAGGGCATTTGTAAAGGGAAGAAAAACAGAAGAGATAAAGGTGGGGGCTGGAGATAAAGAGCAGAAAGGAAAATACCAGCTTGACCAGCTCAGAAGCAGATTATTGTAGGTAAAAGAATACATCATCTACATGTGTTTAAATTAGTTTTAAATATAACATTAAGTTGATTTTAATATTGATAGTATGTTTCATATGGGGCAGGATGGTTTTGAGCCCCTTTGGTAATTATTTAGTGTGTTGTGGACTAGCATTTTGTTTTTAAGAATGGCACAGGGTAGGAAAGAAAGGGAAAGGGAAGGGAAAGGATGCAATGTGAGTGTGAGTGAGAGTTACAAGTTTTGAAAACTTTTATTTCATTGATAGATAAACATACAGAAAGGGTGTTGGTTTGGGCATATGCTATATTTCTTCTGAGGTTTATAGACCCAAAAGCCACTGACTTTCAAAAAGGTTGAAAAGTTTTTCTGTAAAGGACAACAGAATAAATATTTTAAACTTTTCAAGTTATGAATATTCTCTGAAATATTTTTCTTTGCTGATTTTTTGTAACCCTTTAAAAGTATAAGAACCACTCTTAGTTTACCAGTGGTATTAAAACAGTCATTGGGCAACATTTGGCTTGTGAACTATAGTTTGTTGGTACTTATCTTAGAATGTAGATTAATGTACTGTATCTTACCACTGCTAAGAGATAAATATATGTTTAACTTTTTAAGAAAATGACAATGTGTTTTCCAAAGCTTTTGTACCATTTTACACTTCCACCAGCAATGTGTGAGAGTTGCGGTTCTGTCACAGGATTGCTAGTTCTTGGCACGGTCAGCCTTTATTCTGCAGGTGCACAATAATATATTTCATTGGGATTTTAATTTGTATCAGCAACATCTTTCCCTGTTGAGCCAATTTTCATGTGATGTTTGGACATTTGTTTAATTTCGGGACATATATGCTCAAATCTTTTTCTTCTTTTCTTACTTGGGCTGCTTGTCCTCTTACTCACTTGTGAGAGATCTTTATGATTCACTTGGTCATCCATGATTTCTGTGAAGAAATTCTCAGTCACTTGAATGATTGCTCCTGCATAAGTAATGTGTCATTTTTCTTCTTTGTGCTTTCTGTATTATCCTTCCGTCTCTTTGCTTATGGTGTTTGGATTTATCCTATTTGGGGTCTCTAAGCTTTTTGAATCTGTAGTTTTATATCTTTTGCCAAGTTTGAGAAATTGTCAGACATTATTTCTACAGACTGTTTTCTGAGCTCCCCTCTTTCTGCTTTCATTCAGAGCATCTGTGACACAGATCTTTGAGGATCTTTTTTTTTTTTAATATTTTTTTCTCTTTGTTGTTGAGATTAGCTAGTTTCTATATATCTTCCTTCAAATTCACTCTTTTCTCTGTCATTCCCACTCTGGTATTGAACCTACACAGTGAGTTTTGAGTTTTTCTTTCTGTGTTTTTCTAGGTTTTATTGGTATTTGTGTTTTTTACTTTGAAAATTTCAATTTAATTCTTCATTTCTTTTCTTTCTTGAGACTTTGTCTTTATTTAAGGCATTTATTTCAAGAGTGTTTACCCCTATTGATCGGGGGCATTTTTATAATATCTACTAATTAATTAAAGTTGATAATTCTAAATATCCATGTCACCTTGGCAATGGCATCAATTTGATTCATTTTTGTAGGCCAAATAAGATTTTTCTGGTTCTTGGTGTACCAAGTACTCTTTTATTGTATTCTAGAAAATTTTAATATTATGCTATAACGTTTTTGAGTCTTGCTTAAATTCTATGCAAAATGTTGAAATTTGTATTTTAGCAGGTAGTTTACCCAATTGATTTCAGACAGAAAGTTCCAACCAGTCACTCATGGGTGTTGTTTTAACGTCAGTTTAGCTTTTTCAAAGCCTTTATTGTGCTGTTAGGATCTGTCCCACAGCTCTGCCACCCACTGGCCAATCTGGGACATAAGTGGTGGTCTCTGAGTGCTTAAAGTCATAAAATCTTCTAATTGGTACATTTATTTAGAGGTACATTTCAACATCTCTGAAATCAAGATGCATCTTACACTCAATAATACCTTACAGTTATAATTGTCATTATTTTTCTTTCTTAGTTGTACATGCAGTAATGATGCATCTTACACTCATTAGTATCCTAGAGTCAATGAAATGTTCTTTTGAACTTTCTCTAAATAATTGCTTAGTAAAGATCGTGTCATAATCATGCTTGGTGAGTAATAGCTGCCTTCTCCTTGCCATGTGGCCATTGTTTACACTTTTTTTTTTTTATGAGACAAAGTCTCGCTTTGTCCCCCTTGGTAGAGTGCTGTGGCATCATAGCTCACAGAAACCTCAAACTCTTAGGCTCAAGTGATTCTTTTGCCTCAGCCTCCTGAGTACCTGGGACTACAGGTGCCCGTCACAACATCTGGCTATTTTTAGAGATGGAGTCTCACTCCTACTCAGACTGGTCTTGAACCCGTGAGCTAAGGCAGTCCACTTGCCTCAGCCTCCCAGAGTCCTAGGATTATAGGTGTAAGCCACTGCACCTGGCTTGTTTACACTTTGTTTATAGCATGAATACCTGTTTTTTAATCAGTCATTTTCTCAAAATTGAGGGCTCCTTGAGAGCTATCTTGCAATCCTACAAAGTATCTACTAGAATGCTATGCATACATGGCATATAACCCTTGTAAAAAAAGACAATAAATGGAGGAGGCAGAGGTAAGATGGTAGACTGCAGCCAACTTTCCCCAGAGGCTACCACCCATCCAGAAGGAGAGTTAAAAGACAGAAGTTTAGCAAGTAAGCTCATGGTTTGGAACTGAGACAAGAGAAAAGGTTGAAGAACGCATATCAACCTTGCTCAGACAAGCTGCAATACCAAAGATACAAACAAAAGGTACTGAATCCATTGCCAAGTGGATGGAGTCCCCACCCCCATGAGAAGGTCCTCACAGTAAACTCCATACAAAAAAGGAAGCAGAGCCCATGGGAGAGACCATCTAAAAACTAGACCTCCTACCCATACTATAGTGCCATGGCACTCTCCTGCCAGAC